ACTAGGTCCCTTCTGACCCTAAATCTATGAAACTATAATGTAAAAAAAGGAAACCAAGTTCTTCCCCTGGCCTCAAGACCTCTCCCATATTCCCAAAGTGTAAAAAATCCTCACTCTGCACCTTAAAGTGAACTCCTTCCATCTATTCCAGGTTGCTATTTAACTTAAGAAAGCTCAGCACTCTACCATGACACTTTAAAAGTGAAGTGCATGGATTTAGCATACTATGGGTAGCTGTTCAACAGCTGTAATTCTAAGGTAGTGAATCTCAACCAGGATCCCATGGCACTTTGGGGTGCCTTTGAAACCCTTTTAAGGTGTCATGGGATGCCACAAAACACGAGCACTGTTAGGTGTGCAAATGTGATTCCTGCTTTTTTTTTTTGACACCGTGTTACAAATTAGCAGTGTGGCAAACAGGTGCACATGCACCGTGTGGTTTGCAGCACCTTAAACAGCTCTGAGGTGCTGCAAACTGCACTTGCACACTTGTCTGGACACACCTAAGAGATTTCAGACAGGAGAATCCATAGTGTTAACAATAATCTAACCTGTGGTCTTTCCAAAGTCTTTGCAAAAAGAAAAATTGCGCTATTGTTTTTCTTGTAGTAAAAAAGAAAACTAAGAGCTGACATTTTCCAAGGGGTGCCTTGAGTCTACAAAGGTTGCAAACCACTGTTCTAGGGTCTTGCCGACACACAGGAGTTGAACTGAATAAAGTAAAATTACTTTAGAGATCAATTTAACAAAATGAGTGTAACTGCTTTGTATAAAGTCAAATAAAAAGACTCATCTTTATTTAACATGCATCTTTATGGACTCGTATTAAATACATAAGATACCATAGCCAATAGGCTAGAAGAGCAAGGTAGGGAGACATCCCCCATTTCCATAAAGTAGATGTGTACCCGAGATCCTCCCACTGGGAGGCTATAGTAGACTCTCATAAGCACATTGGACAGGTCTGCACCCTCTACTATACCATGTCATTCAAAAGTGATCTCAGCCTGGGGCATAGATCAATGCCCATCCTGGGCAGACATGTCGATAGAAAACTACCACATTTTTGTTATAATTTCTGTGTTCCCGATCAAATTAGCCAAATCAGTTCCAAACCATATTGACTGAGCAGAACTCAATTGTTCCAAAAATCGTATCAATTGAGCAGGCAGAACTCAACTGTTCTAGACACCACAAATAGTGCTACCAGAAGGATAAATTAGTGCAGATTTTTTTTAATGTCCTATGCAGAGGCAGAACGGAACCAGATGAGGTTCAACGTAGAGAAATGCGAAGTGCTGCATCTGGGAAGGAAGAACCCGCAACACACCTACAGGCTGGGCATTGCTAACCTGACCATTACTACAAATGAAAAGGATCTGGGGGTAACAATAGACCCCAGCATAGATATGAGCCAGCAGTACAACACTGTAGCCACTAGCGCCAATAATACTCTGGCATGCATTGATCGATGCCTCTCCAGTAAAACCGAAGTGATTTTCCCATTTTACTCAACATTGGTGCAGCCGCAGCTGGAGTATTGCATCCAGTTCTGGGCGCTGCACTTTAACAAGGACATGCTAAAACTCAAGAGGGTCCAGAGAAGGGCCACCTGTATGATCAGGGACTTGCAAGGCAAGCCATACAAGGAGAGCCTGAGGGATCTTGGATTCTTCAGCCTAAAAGAAAAAAAGAGACTGAGAGGAGACCTGATTGTGGCTTACCATTATATCAGAGGCCTACTTCAGGGGCTCAGTGAACAACGTTCACCAGGGTGCCCTGGGGGAAAACTAGAAACAACAGCCACAAACTCCTGGAAGACAGTTTCAGGTTGAACATTAGGAAAAACTTCTTCACAACTAGAGTGTCCAGACTACGGAACAAGCTCCCCCCAGAGGTGGTGCAATCATCTACCCTAGAGGTCTTCAAGAGAAGACTGGATGGTCACCTGACTCCAGATGTCTTTCCTGCTCATGCAGTGGGCTGGACCCGATGAGCCTATGACTCTATGCTTGCCTGGCAAGGGAAATACCATGACCGTTAAAGCAGTTTTTCTAGTCGCACCTGAGGAAGACTGCTATCCTGGCATGGGGATAGTACCTGCCAATGTTATGTATCGTAAACCTCCCACTTAGCTGCTGAAGTGGGAAGATCTCAGCTTTATGCCCACTTTAGGGAAAGGGGAGACTCCTCCCTAGCTTGCTCCTGCGGCCTTATGGCTAAGGGCAAGCGAAACTCTGGGGCATCCAAACCTCAAGCCTCTGGGCTTGGGTCTGCAAGTAGGATGTTCGCCAAATGTTCTGGAAACATCTGAAGCCCCAGGTGGGGGTGGAGGATGTTTGCCAGTAGTAGGGCCACTTATGGTTCTGGACTGACTCATGGATTTGGAATTTGGTTTGGCTAATTTGGCTTGGAATATGGAACTTATTTATTTATTTTATTTAAATTAAGTGGCTGGGGAAATAACATGACCATGATGGTGGCAGGGGAAATACCCTGACTGAGGTAATGCAATTAAAATGGCACTGTGTAGTGGCGGGCTGCACACTTGTCTGCTTGCAGACAGGACTCCTTACAAAAGCCTCATAGGGGAGGTAGAAAGAGAGAGAGAAGTTCCCCAATTTTTATTGTCCTGATCTCTAATGCTTCTAGCAGAAACCAGACAAGACTGCTTCTTGGATTACTAAGGAAAATAAAAGAAGGAAGAACCAGAAAACAAGTTAGGAAAGGAGATACTTTTCAATACATACTCGTTTGGTAAAACTTCATTTTCATCTTTTACCAGTCTGCCATTTTCTTCCTGGGCTTTATGTTTCCCCTCCTGCCAAAAAGGAGAACATATTTACAGGTCAAATCCAAATTTTACCAGCTCCATCATAGATTTTACATTTGCACACTGTCTGGGCTATTTGGTGAGGATTTTCAAAAGTGTTTAAACAACTTTTGGGAAGTGCAAGTCTCATTTGACTTTCCTTGGAATTTGTACTCTTCAGCTACTTTTGATAATCCCATCCTTTGATATTATGGACTAAAGTAGCACATGACCAGTCTAAGCACATTAACCAGCTCCTTGCCTTCTTTCTGTGGGGACCAGAACACAACTGAAAGATATCCTAACTGAGCTGAAACTGAACAGAATTCATTAGTCTCCACCTGCTGGAGAGGAGAAACCCTACACTACCACCTGGATCGGCATGGCAAAAGCTGGAAGTGCAAACATTACTGTACAGACTTATTTGAAATGTATTAATGAAATAAAAGCATATCCCCAGCCCCATAACACTGCGTTGTTATGACTAAGACAATAAACTGTTATCTAAACCAGTGATGGAGAGAGTTTTAAGAGTCCTGGTAGCAGAACCCATACCTACGGGGACTGTAAGGAATGTCAAGCAAAATTTGAACAAAGCCTAAATGTGACCCTGCCATAGATATAAGATGTAACAGATTAGTGTTGTGCTGAAGATGCAAATGCCTGATCTTCTGACCCTGTCCATTCTACAAGCAGAGATGGACAACTCCATGAAGAAAAGAAAAGGACATCAAACCTCCCTCTCCTAATAAAGTGACCAAGTACTGTTGTTATTCAGTGCCTTACATTAGAGAATGCTCATACTTAAATTAATTGTGTCATTGTGAACTAGTCAATGAATGCTTCACTGTGATGCTGACAAGACAGATCTATCAATATTCAAAGCAATGACTTTATATTGAGGAATAATTAATGCAAGTAAACTATTGATCACTTCTTGACCTCTCATGGACTAAAATCAAGTGTAGGAAGTACCTGAGGTCCTGGACTAAAGAGTCTGGGATGGAGGATGCTTGTCCGTAGTATCTGGGGGCATCCAAACCCCAAGACCTCTGGGCCTAGGCCTGCATGTAGGATGCCCACCAATGGACTTGGGAGTATCTGAAGTCCCAGGGTGATAGGCCTGGGATGGAGGATGCTCACCGGTTGTAGTGACATACATCGTGTTCAGAATGATTGAGTTTGCCTGCTCAATTGATCCGATTTTTGGAATGACTGAATTCTGCTCAGTCAATATGGTTCGGAATCAATTTGGCTAATTTAACCTGGAGCATGAAATATATGATAAAAGACCAAAAAAACCCAGTCGAGTTTGGGACACAGTGGTCAAAATGTTAAAAGTCTGGTCAAAACTTATTCAAGAAAGACACAGAAACATCTATGGTTTGTTTGGTAAAGCCAAATGGGACTAACACGTAGTTTTGCACATTCGTTTTTGGGGCGTGGGGCAGACCTGACTTGAGGTAACGCCTGTGACCTTGCTCTCCAAAGTAGCGTTATAGTCATCTGCTAATAATTTCAATACTATACAACACATATTGGTCATATGCAAAGATCCTGTATGTGTGTCTGCACATGCATGCATGCGCACGCAACTATTCTGCATATTAGCCGAAGAGGGCAATTGCAACAGATTTGGATGCTGACAAGTTTTAAGCAGCTGCTTAAAGCTGCAATATGCATACCTTAAAAGGTAACCTTCTTTAAAAAATGCTTACTATTAAATAATATTGCTTTTAAAACACTTTTAAAAATTTGCTCTTTTATACATCCAAAAAGCAGCAGCTATTCACTAAGTTCCGCTACTTCACAATGTCAGGACTGGAATTTCCTGTTATCATGATGAACAGTTTTTTAAGTGCATTGTACTTAATCAGATAAAGCACTCAGAGTACCTTGCATATTACTATGTGTTCTTCTTTAATAAAAGCTGAAGAACAGTCACCTTCAAGATTCTGTCAATTATCAGGTAGGGAAGGATATGCTGTCTTACTAATTGCTGAAATTATTGCTTTTAAAATACATTTTTCAGGATCATACTGAAGAAAAAAAACCATTGATTTTGTAGCGAGAGAGAATGAAATGCAAAAAAAAGGTTTTTCTATCTTAACTTCTACCCACATCAGCTGTGTAAATGAGGCATGATGGGAATGCATACACAGTCACATGAAGTACAAGGCACAACAACAGATAAAATTAAATCATGTTTAAACATGAACAAACAAGAGTCACCAAAAAAGATGCTACCGTTTTTACTTCAGTTTTCTGGCAGCCTTTGCCTTGGACTAGAGTGCTTTTGCTTTCTTGGATACTGTGATGGGTACGTGACCATCTGTGCCTTTCCCGTTTCAATTCCAGTTCAAGATGGTTGCTACAGTATAACAAGATAGAATTAGGATCTGGTTTTAAAGTGGTCAAATACACAGCAATTAGAATGACTTAGTTTGCCCTCTTTTTATGTTAAAACCATTAATCCACACTAAAAGAACTGCATTTCTGAATGACAAATTATTCCAGGTTTATCGAACCTGAATCTGCATGCTAGATCTATAGTCCAGTCTAATTTAATTTTGTGAATTATGCACCTGTTCATAGCTCCCTGAGGATTAAGAGACATTGCTAGTACTACAATAATTAGTTGTTTAAAAACAAATTAAAGCTGAATATGAAATCAAAAGCAAAACCTTCAACCAGTTCCTAGAATCACCTTTAATGTTCTTCCTTTCACATTCAGTACTATCTATAACATCCTTTCCTGCTGTTAGAGCCACCTAAATTCTAAGATATAAGGCCTCTTCAGTGAGAATGCCCTGCTGCACATCCCTGGGTGTTCAAGTCCAGGAACTGTTAAGCCAGAGGGTCTTACAGCTGGTCTCAGTGCTATGGCAGTAGTGGGGTGCGATTTGATCTTGGGTAACAGAAGTTAGATATGGTTTTGCAGATATTATATAAACACAATTAAATTTAGCATAATACCCTACTTACTTGAATCCAAGACTCTCCCCCTACTTCCCCTGGAGTCAGCATGGGGAGAAAAAAGCCTTGTATTGAATTTGAGTATCTTCCCAGAGCAGGCAGCAGCTTAACTCCAGCTTTGGCCATGGGTTTAGGGCTGAAGCCAGAGCTGAGCTGCTGCCTACCTGAGACTGCAATAGCTTGTTCGCTGGAGAAAGGAGCACATAGCCCAGGGGAGCGCAGAGGAGATTTGGGGGAGGGAAGGAGAAGAGCAGGGGAACCTGCAGCCTGCCCCTCCCTTACCCTGCCCCCAATGCCTGTGACATCTCCCCCATCCTCAGCCTATCCCTGTTCCCCAACCTGTCCCCTCTGCCCTGTACCTTCTGCTCCAGTCCCTGGGCCTCAACCAAACCAGGACAGAGTCTGCTGCTACTTCTCCCATGCTGGGCTAGGCTGGGGTCATGCTACTTCTGACTGCCCTGGAAGACCAGGCACACAGGCTTGCTAACCTAGTGAGGAGAGCTAGGTTTGCTGGGGGATGGAGACCAAAGCTCTGAGGTGAGAAAGTGGGTGACCTGGAGGAAGCACAAGCAGGAATGAGCAAGAGGGGAGTCCTGCTCATTCTTCCTGAGAAATCAGGGCAAATCAGCTAGTTAACTCAGGTGCCTGTACACAAATGCACCAAACCTGGGAAACAAGCAAAACAAATTGGAAGCCCTTGCACAGTCATGGAACTATGATGTGACTGGAATAACAGACTTGGTAGGATAGCTCATATAACTGGAGCACTGTATGGATAGTTATAAACTGTTCAGGAAGGACAGGCAGGGGAGACAAAGAGGAGAGTTGCACTTCATGTTAACAAGCTGTCTGATTGCTCAGAGATCCAGTATAAAAATGGAGATAGGCCTGTTGAAAGTCTCTGGGTTAGTATCAGAGGAGCGAGCAATAAGGGTGATGTTATTTGGGGGGGGGGGGAATGTCTGCTATAGACCACCAGACCAGGAGGATAAGACTTTCTTCAAACAGCTAGTGGATGGTTTCCCTGATCACAGGCCCTGGTTCACATGAAGAACTTCAAAATCACCCTGACATCTGCTGGGAGGGCAACACTGCAGTGCGCAAGCTATCCAGGAAGTTTTTGGAGAGTATCAGGAACAACTTCCTGGCACATGCTCTTCTTGACCTGCTGCTCATAAACAGGGAAGAATTGATGGTGATTGTAGTAGTGGATGTCAACTTGGCCAGCAGTGACCATAAGATGACTGAATTCAGGATCCTGAGGAAAGGAAGGATGGAGAGCAGCAGAGTAAGGACCCACAACTTCAGGAAAGCAGACTTTGACTCACACAGGGAACTCATGGGCAGAATCCCCTGGGAAGCCAGTCTGAGGGAGAGGAGTCCAGGAAAGCTGGCTGTACATTAAAGAAGCCTTACTGAAAGTGCAGGAACAAACCATCCTGATGCACTGGAAGACTAGCAAGTATGGCAGAAGACCCACTTAGCTTAGCAGGGAACTCTACAGTAAACTGAATCATAAGAAGGAAGCTCACAAGAAGTGGAACCGAGGGTGGTGAGGGAATTGGCCCAATGTGATTACGGAACCACAGGCCATCATTTTTTAAAACTCACAGTGATTAGGAGAGGTCCCAGATGATTGGAAAAGGGAAGAATAATTCCCATATTTAAGAAAGGGAAAAAGGAGGATCCAGGGGACTACAGAACAGTCAGCTTCACCTCAGTCCCTGGAAAAATCATGAAAAAGATCCTCTAAGCACTTGGAAGGAGGTGATTAGGAACAGTCAGCATGGATTCACCAAGGGTAAATCATGCCTGACCAACCTGATTGCCTTCTATAATGAGATGACTGGCTCTCCCTTGACTTTAGCAAGGCTTTTGATACAGTCTCCCACAACATTCTCACAAGCAAGCTAAGGAAGTACAGGTTGGATGAATGGACTAAGGTGGAGAGAAAACTGGCTGGATCATCAGACTCAGAGTATATTAGTCAATGGCCCAGTGTCTAGTTGGCAGCCAGCATTAAGTGGAGTGCCCCAGAGGTTGGTCCTAGAGCTGGTTTTGTTCAATATGTAGAGTGCACCTGGAAAATGGCAAGTTTGTAGATGACACCAAGCTGGGGGGAGTAGTAGATACACTGGAGGGCAGGGTTAGGATTCAGAGAGACCTTGACAAATTGGAGGACTGGACCAAAAGAAATCTTATGAGGTTCAATAATGACAAGTACAAGGTCCTGCACTTAGGACAGAACAATCCCATGCACCAGTACAGGCTGGGGGCTGAGCAACAGCTTTGCAGAAAAGGTCCTAGGGTAATAGTGGACAATAAACTGAATATAAGCCAGCAGCATGCCCTTGTTGCCAAGAAGGCTAACAGCATACTGAGCTGCATTGGTAAGAGTGTTGCCAGCAGAGCAAGGGAAGTGATTATTCCCCTCTATCCAGCACTGGCAAAAACCACATCTGGAGTACTATGTCTAGTTTTGGGCCCATCACTACAGAAAGGATGTGGACAAGTTGGAGAAAGTCCTGTGGAGGGCTATGAAAACGGTGAAGGGGCTGGGGCACATAGCTTCTGAGAAAGGGCTGAGTGAATTGGGCTTATTTAGTTTAGAGAAGAGAAGTCTGAGAGGGGATTTAATAGCAGCCTTCAACTACCTGATGACTGGTTCCAAAGAGGATGGAGCTAAACTGTTCTCAGTGGTGGCAGATGACAGAACAAGGAAAAATAGTCTCATGTTGCAGCAAGGGATGTCTAGGTTAGATATCAGGAAAAAAAACCTTCTCACTAGGAGGGTAGTAAAACACTGGAACAGGTTACCAGAGAGGTCAAGTCTCCATCCTTGGAGATGTTTAAGGCCCAGCTAGACAAAGCCTTGGCTGGGATGATCTAGCTGGGGATGGTCTTGCTTTGAGCAGGGGGTTGGACTAGATGACCTCCTGAGGTCCCTTCCAACCCTAATTTTCTATGATTTTAACAGAGCTGCAGCAGAAGGTAATGTGGAAGAGGGTAGAGTTAGACATATGGGAACAGGTGCCAGGGGTCAGGCACTGGAATGGTGGGGGCAGGCTGCAGGGGGTAGAGC